TACCAGTAAATATCAATTAAACAGGCATTTATAAGCTAGATGGACCAAATCCCATAAAAAGAAGTCAATATGAATGGATTACCCTTTGTTACTTAACAATTCCTGAAGGACTTAGGTTCCAATACCTCAATTTATTAAGCCACAGGATAGCACAGTTAAAAGCACCATCAAAGGTCTTAAATTGCTCACAAAATACAAATTTCTTACTCTTATAAGACAGACCATCCAGGAAACAAAGCAAGACGAAAAAATGTAAGAAGCCTGGAAAATGGAAAGAGCGAGTGGACAGAGTATTATATACAACCAAGCCATGAAAAAAAAAAAAAGAAAACAAAGTCAAGGTTGGTCTGAGAAGACAGCTCACTGGATAAAGAACTTTCTGTGAAAGAGTGGGGACCTAGGCTCTGATCTCCAGAACCTATTTCAAAAAGCCAGATGCTGTAGTCCACCTCTGTAACAACAGGACTGCTACAGGGGAATGAGCAGTAGACACCAGTGAGTCACCTGAGGCTCACAGGCCAGCTGGTCTGACACATATGACAGGGAGTAACAGAGATCCTCCTCAAACAAGGAAGAAAATGAGAAGAGACACTGAAGGCTAGCCTCTGACCTCCATATGCACACCATAGCATGCATACACACACAGGGATGTAGGCAGAGGAGGGCAGACAGGGACACATAATCAAAAAAAAAAAAAAAAATCAAAGTTAAGGCCAGTTACTACTTTCTTCTAAGTTGCTTTTAATTTTTATAGTTGTTTAACTAGTTAAGTCTTGTGAGGTTGTACCTAAGCATCTAGGTTATGGCAGGACATGTAATATTTTGAAGCTATCAAAAAGGTAATTCAAGTTGCCGGGCGATGGTGGCGCACGCCTTTAATCCCAGCACTCGGGAGGCAGAAGCAGGTGGATCTCTGTGAGTTCGAGACCAGCCTGGTCTACAGAGCTAGTTCCAGGACAGGCTCCAAAGCCACAGAGAAACCCTGTCTCGAAAAACCAAAAAAAAAAAAAAAAGGTAATTCAATAGTGTATGGATTATCATTTAAAACACCAAGCACTTACAGAATCTAAGAATTATGTCCAAGCTCGTTGAATATTAATTTCTAAAGTACATTGACACGAACACTTTTTAAAAGCTATTCCATAAAATCCAGCTTCATAAAGCTTCCATTATGATATCAGCACTGATTCTATGAAATTGAGTTGTTTAGAATGTGGGAACCCCACATCAGACAGAGGGCCGACCTCCAAAATATACTCAGAACTTAAGAAATCGGTCATCAAAAGAATAATTCAATAAAAAAAAATAGGGTACAGATCTAAACAGAAAACTCTCAACAGATGAATCTTAAATGGCTGAAAGACATAAGGAAATGCTCAACATCCTTAGCCATCAGAGAAACGCAAATCAAATCAACTCTGAGATTCCATCTTACACCGGTAAGAATGGCCAAGATCAAAAATACTGATGACAGCTTATGTTGGAAAGGATGTGGGGTAAAGGGAACACTTCTCCATTGCTGGTGGAAGTGCAAACTGGTACAGTTTGCCATTTTGGAAATCAGTATGGCGATTTCTCAGAAAATCAGGAAATAATCTACCTCGAGACACCACTTTTGGGTAGATACCCAAAGGATGCTCAATCATAACCACAAGGACATGTGCTCAACTATGTTCACAGTAGCCATATTTGTCATAGCCAAAACCTGGAAACAACCTAAATGCCCTCGACTGAAGAGTGGATAAAGAAGATGTGGTACATTTACACAATAGAGTACTACACAGCAGAAAAAATGACATTTTGAAATTTGCAGGCAAATGGATGGAGCTAGAAAACATCATATTGAGTGAGGTAACCCAGACCTAGAAAGACAAATATAGTATGTACTCACTCATAAGTGACTTTTAGACATAAAGCAAAGGAAAACCAGCCTACAATTCACAATCCCAGAGAACCTAGACAACAAAGAAGACCTTAAGAGAGACATACATGGATCTGACCTACATGGGAAGTAGAAAAAGACAAGATCTCCTGAGTATATTGGGAGCATGGGGATCATAGGAGAGAGTAGAAGGGAAGAGGGAGGAAGGGAGGAGATCAGAGAAAATATAGAGCTCAATAAAAACAATTTTAAAAAATTCAGAAAACAACAACAAAAAAAGAAATTGAGTTGTTTACTAAGTCTCACAATTTCAAAACATCATTCTTTGAGCATAGTCTAGGTTGACAAGATGCTAGTTCACACAGTCATCCACTATTTGTGTGTTGGGGGAGGCTTCATTTTGTTAAGGCATGGTTTATTCTGTAGCTCAGGCTTGTGTGGAATTCACTACGTAGCCCAGGATGGTGATCTTTCCTCAGCCTCTCAGTCATTCAATATCTCTAGCCCAAACATACAATATATTTTAAGAAAGAGTTAGGTTGCATGCACTTCTCAAACAAAAGTAACTATAAAAATAATAATTGTAACAGAATGTATTCAATTAGTAAAGTGCTAGTATTAAACACAGAACAACTACAATGAGAATTTATTCTCCTTTGGGGGGAAAAAGTACAATTACTATAAAACAATAAAAATCAAGTGATTGGGAGAGGTTCAAGCAGGTAAGCTAAAAGGAAATGGTAAAAATGGCAATGTCTACCAGTTAGAAGGACTGTTAACATCAATGAGAGAATCAACAGAAACAAGCAATGCAGACGAAGGGCTACAGACCACAGAAGTTGTACGTTTCTCCTTAGAGTCAGAAGCTCTTTTCTGTCATACTTTCAGGAATGACACCCAACCCCAGAAGACCTTTGTAAGGACCCAGGACACAAAGACCATGAGCCATCATCCTACTCCTCACCACCCAGAGGGTTGCTGTGTGCTAACGTCATACTAACTATGAGACCCTGAGCCAGTCACAGCCTCTCCCAGCCTTTGTTTCTCTGCACAGAGAGCAGGGATGGTAAAGGCTACATTCACAGGGCTCTCAGAGAACTAAAATGGGCTCTGTAAAGTCCCTAAGAAGCTCTACATCTTGTAGGTGCTCAACGCTGGCCAATAAACAGCATTCCAATAGGTTCTGTCTACTTAGACACAAAACACTGCTTTATGATTCACTAATGAATCCCTCTGCCAGTCTGTTGAGGACTGCAGCAAAAGACAGACTGAAAAACAGGAGCAAAGATAATCCCGTCTCTATGAGACTAGATGAAGTTATTAGTTCAAGAAGTTCATTTTCTGTGCATACAGTTCCTACTTCCCACTTTCATACAACCTTGAGCTTAAGTGCAAAACAGTGTTGAATAAAAATTTAAAAAGGGAGCCACAATCTTGGCCTGGGCAGCTTCAATGGCTCCATATACCAGCCTAAAAATAAAGTCACTAGAGCTGACAGTTCACAGAATCAAACTGAAACTGAGGTGGTGACTTGCCCTTGGCATGGGGACTCTCCCTCTGCCTTACCCCTAACCCCATATCCAACTTCCCCTTCCACTTTCATGTCTTACACACAGGTTTCCCATATGAGACAAAATATGTGACACTTTGTCTTTCTCTCTCCCCAGAAAGAGAAAGGAGGGACATTAAGGAGGGTTGTGAGGCATAAACGCAAAGAGATTACAAAACACGTGTATAGATCATGACGAAACCTGTTGTTTTGTATGCTGACTAAACTCAGTAAGGCAACTCAAGGTTCCACCTCCCTGTCCCTGCCCTACAGAGTAACTTTGGAACGACTATTCCACTTGATTTTTTTATTTGTATTTCTTTACATTCTTTTCTATCTATAAAATCATTAAGAAATGATGTTCCATTTTAGAATTAAAATAAATTACAATTTAGAATTTAAAAAGTAAAGCCAATTGTGATATTTACATTGTTCTAATTTTTCCCTTTGGGAGCAGTGAACCACAAAATTACCCTCAAGGGTATGTGTATCAAACACAACAGATTAATTCTCTGCATATAAACCCATCCAAATGAAAAAGTGATAAAAATGACTTTCCACAAAGTTCCAATGCAGCCAAACAGGCAAACAAACTCTTCTGATCTTATTTCTACCATCTCTGGGTAAAATACTGTAAGACATGAAAAATACCACGAGTCTTTGAAAGCCTAAACTTTCAAAGCGATATTTGGAGTATATTCTCCAGCCAGGACAGAGTTACTATAGAACCCTTTTATTTTTCTACTTTACTTTTAAACAAAAAGACCTAATGTTTTATACAAAGTCTTGAGTAACTCAAAAATCGACATGGCCTAGGAAGATGACTCCGTCAGTATAATGCTTATAGCTGAAGCGTGAGGACCAGGCCTGAGTTGGATCCCCAATACATACATATAAACATACATAATGCCAAACATGGTAGCTTGCTTCTAATCACAGCACTGAGGAGGCAGAGACAGGCAGATCCCTGGGGCCCACTGACTGACTTCATCAGTAAACCCACGTCACAATGATAGACACCACCTCTTTTGTTCTTTTTTCTTTTCTTTTCTTTTTTTAATTTGGGTTTTTATTTGTTTTTGTTTTGTTTTGTTGAGACAACAATTCTCTGTGTAGCCCTGGCTGCCCTGGAACTAACTCTGTAGACCAAATGGCCTCAAACTCTGAAGTCTAACTGCCTCGGTCTCCACAGGGCTGGGGTTAAAAGTGTGCAACATCATCTCAAAAGCAAAGCAAAACACCCCAACAGCTTCCAAGGAACAACAACCCCGGTTATTCCCAGGTCCTCCATGTGCATAAGCACCTGCATATAAAAATGTGGGCACACACACGCAAGGGCACACATACAAAGATCAAGAAAACTAATACTGCTTCCTTAACTGACTGGAGGCAGAAAAGCCTTAGTGAAAAATTTTAGAAATGAATTTCTATCTATTTTCTGTATAATCAAACTATGAGAATAAGAATGCACTATAATAAAGTGTTAGCTAAGAATTTGGTGAATTCTGAGAAAGCTTTGAAACAGCACCAAGTCGACTGAAATTGCTTTCACTCTCACGTCACACTTACCCAGGCTTGCCATCAAGGACTCCACATCCTGGAGGAGAGCTGGCAGCTGCTGCAGCTGCTCCTGCAGCTCTGACAGGCTGGTCCTCTTCTTCTCCCAATGGGCAGAGAGCATGACCACCTCGCTGTCCACCAGCTGCAACACAGACCAGTAGGGGCTCAGAGAAAACACATCTCAATAGGAAGTGACAGTTAGCATGCAGAGGCCCAGTCAGTTTGTCTTTAGCAACCCTCCATGGTCTACAGATGTCAGTTATTATCCCACTCCTCACCACCCAGAGGGTTGCTGTGTGCTAACATCATACTAACTGTGAGACCCTGAGCCAGTCACAGCCTCTCCCAGCCTTTGTTTCTCTGCACAGAGAGCAGGGATGGTAAAGGCTACATTCACAGGGCTCTCAGAGAACTAAAATGGGCTCTGTAAAGTCCCTAAGAAGCTCTACATCTTGTAGGTGCTCAACATTTTCTAGAGCTTTTTTTTTTCATTTTCTTTCTTTTCTTTTTATCTTAGAAAGGAAGCAATTTAAGATTCCGTAAAACAACCTCAAACTGCTGCTGTATCAGGGATCTTAACCAAAAGAAGAAAAGTTTAAAAATAAACTGATTACTTCTAAGTATACTTTGTTTTTAAGGATACTGTTCATTGGAAAATTCATACCTAAAAAAAGACAAAAAACAAACAAACAAACACACAAACTACTAACAACCACCACAAAACAAACAAACAAGAAAAAACAGGGAGGACCAGTCAATTGGTGGCACATGCCTTTAATCCCAGCACTTGGGAGACAGAGGCAGGAGGATCTCAGCGAGTTCGAGGCCAGCCTGTTCTACAGAGCAAGTTCCAAGACACACACAATAACACACACCCCCCAAAAAATTAAACCAAACAAACAAAACCCCCCAAAAAAGAAAAAGAAAGAAAAAATATAGAAACAAATCAAAAACATGATTTACAGGTAATTACTTGTTTTATAAAATCCTTTTATTAGGTAAGGTCTTTAATGCTTCGTGAATACCCTACAATCAGCTTATATTCAAACAGAACATTTCCTACATGGAGCAAGGAAAATGATTCTGTACAGGAAGAACTACTGAGGCAACTGACCAACTCTAGGAAAGTAGGAAGCTTGAGGCTGACTAGGAAGGACTGAGGTACAAAAGGTCTGAGACCTGGATTAGTCTATGGAAGACCAAAGATAATAACAGACTTTCTGTTTTAAAACATTAGAAAGTCGGAGATAGGCGGCAAGGATAAGACAAAGGAATAAGGAAGCAGTCTGCTCCAGTGTGGGTCTCTGTCTCTATCTCCATCCATCACCAGATGAAGGTTCTATGGTGATATGCAAGATATTCGTCAATATTGCTATAGGATAGGGGGTCATTTCAGGTTCCCTATCCTCAGCTTCCCAAGGGACTAACTGGGGACAACGCCTTGGGCTCCTGGGAGCCACTCTAGCCATAAATAAAGGTCACGGAGTGTATACCTGGTGAACCTAAAGAAGCTAAATAAGAAGGTGAACCCAAGGAAAATCATATACTTATCCTCTTGGCTATGGGAAGTAGACAAAATTGCTGGGGAGAAAATTGGGATCTTGGGGGTAGGGTGGGATGGGAATAAGGGGGGAAGGGGAGAGAAAAGTGAGAAGGGGAGGATTGGGGGAACTTGGGGAAACAGGATGATTGGGATAAAGGAAAGTTGGATAGGGGAGCAGGGAAGCACATATCTTAGTTAAGGGAGCCACCTTAGGGTTGGCAAGAGACTTGTTTCTGAGACAGTCTTACTTTGTAGAACCCAGGCTAGCCTAAACTCTCTGTGTAGTCAAGGCCAAGCTCAAGATTAGAGCAATTCTGCTTCAGCCTCTCAAACGCTGGGATTACAAGTGCTCACCACCACACCTGGCTTAAATTTTCATCCTTGAAGCTGGTACTGTATTTCAGGATGGCCTCAGAGGTCATCTTTGCTTCTGGTGACTCAAACTTTGAATAGCTTATGTTATTCTTGAGAAGGAGGAAGAGAGTCTAAATTAGTCTGTGAGAATCTGAGGGATCTTGGTGTAAACTCTGATCCATGGGGAATTTACTGGGTATCAAAAGATACACGTGACTTTCATTTTTTAACTTAGGAGTTATGTGTGTATACAGGAAACATAACTCAGAACCCTACACTATGTGAAGGGTTACAAAACATGGTAACAAATCCAGTAAGGAAACAAGTTTGACCAGCTGTTCTAAAGACTGCCAGGTTTCCCTCTTTCCTCCCTAGTTTAACCATTCACCAGGGAATGAAGCCATTTCAAAGGTCAAGGGGCATATGTAAGCGTCCCAAATCAGCACACCATGAACAAAGCTTCCAGTTTCCGCCTCCAGCTTCCTGCTTTGCTTACAACCACTTGGACTTCAGTTCCTCTTCCTTTTTCCCCTCTGGGAGTCCCTTAATTCTTACAGGCTTAGTGTATGTTAAAGAATTCATTATACATGTGTATACGCATGGGTTTTACCTTCCTATCAGCCTCTGCACACTCCCACTTTACACCCACAAGGAGTAATGAATTTTTAGGGGTACACAGTGTCCAGAGCTCATGGCTGTAAGTGGGTCCAGCCTCTCCTTTCAATATTGCAAAACCAACCAACGAAGCCTTTTACCCTGGCCTAGACCTGGCATTTAGCATCGGAAAAGGAAAATCTGCCACAAGAGAAGATCAGCAAGCTACCTCTCCAGCATCTGCACATTCCTTCGCTCTTCTATGAAGTGCAGCCCACGTATCTTCATACCTAAAAATGCAAAACACAATTTAAAATGTAAACAGACATCAAAAGGAACATATCTAGCTAAGTTTATAATATACTGAGGCAGCAGAAAAGAACCAAAAAATAATAGCACATGCCACAAGAGCATAGAAGGCAATGAAGAATAAAATACCCAGAGACCCTAAACACACAAATAGTTGAATTTTTATTTTTAATGGGAAAGAATTTTTTTTCTTTTATGGGAAAGGTCTCAGTATGTAGAACTGGCTAGCACAGGGCTTTTTATATAAACCAACCTACATATTCTTTAAATGCCTTAACTTCAAAATGGGAGTCAAAAATTATGTTGGGCAAGAAGTGATATTTTTGTTTCCACAGGAAACAAAAGGCTGTAGAATCATTCAAGATTAATTGTGGTAAGGTTTGATTGGGAAAGAATCCCTGAAAATCCTGACTACAGACATAAAGAAATAAACCTAGAAAAACTACAAGACCAGTGATGTTGATTTTCCCTGCTCAAACAGAAAACAATCATCTTTGGCTGGCTTGTGTATGATGAACAGTTCATACTTGTGTCAATGCAGATATGTTACCTTTGAAAGTTTACGTGTTTTCAGAGTAAGGGGACCAGACACCAATGAAAACAGATGGCCCAGGTGAGTCAGCATCTCAGAGAGCCACTGTTGCAGTTTCCTCAGAGTTCTGCATCCAGAACAAGCTTCAAGGCCGCTGGTTGAGATGGTTCAGCCTCAGACTTCTCCAGACAGGACTACAGATAAGCTTTGCACTTTCCCATTACACAGACATTGGACAACAAACAATACAGCTAGCTCTCCCAGGACTTGAACATTATCCCAGTTTTCTCAGGGTCCCCCCTAAAGATGCCAGTGCCCAAAGGTAACAAGAAGCAGTCTAGAAAGGTGGGATGGGTGGGTTTTGGTCATTTGGTGGTTTATGGATGCTTGCCAACATCTAGTAGGGATATAGGAATATAGTATAAAAAGACAACTATTAACCTCAAATATTTTACATTGACGGGACTTGGGTATACTGCTACAATTTTTGTTTTGTTTTGTTTATCAAGACAAGCTTTCTCTATAGCTTTGGAGCCTATCCTGGAGCTAGCTCTTGTAGACCAGGCTGGTCTTGAACTCACAGAGATCTGCCTGCCTCCACCTCCCAAGGGCTGGGATTAATGGTGTGTGCCACCGCCACATAGCCTGATATATGTTTTTGTTCTTGTCTGGAGTATTGTTGCTATGCAGTTCATTTTAAAATGTATAATTAAGAAATACAGGTTAGTAGTTAGCCATCTATAATACTCAAACTTGTAGTTATGTTAGGTATGTTTTCAATGTTAAGCAGAGATATATTTTTAGATAGGTAATCTTCAAACACCTACAGAATATGACATCTAAGAGGCTTAATAATCTCCAGCTTTTCATGACACGTCTGCTGCTCAACACCGAGTTACTTCAGAGATGATGGGCATTGTAACTTGCTTTCATTGTGGCAAGGTTAGCCACTGGGCAAAGAAACTGCTTTTGTCTTGACTCCTGACAGTATGCTGTTTAAACTGGACAAGCAGGACACAAAGGAAAAATACTGAACTTTGCCAAAACAAGGTAGGACAGTCCTTCAAAATTCCTGCCTCATAGAAAAGTCTGCTAGGCATTTTGCAGGATACACAGGAAAGTGGCTGTTGAAATTTGCCAAGATTAGGTGGGACAGTCTTTCAAAATTCCTGCTTCATGGAAGAGTTTGCCAGATAGTCTAGCCCTGTAGGCCAAAGATGTCCCAATGTTGTAGAGAAACCTTGGATGACTGTCTAGGAACTAGATATCTCTGCGGGTTCTATAGTTTTGGAAGTGGGTTGCACTGCACTTCCTGTATACTCTGGTAATATTATATCCTTTTGGAGTCTTTGATGGAATTGAAGACTGGATAATTATAGTTTTCCCTAGTTATGACAGAAGGCAAATTAGGTACAAAACTTTAGACTCATCAAGACAAGGATTAATAATGGGAGTATTTTCTTGGACTTTGCCAAATGCAAATGGACTGGATATTGTGAATGTAATTCTCATTTGATAATTGTTATTATTGTATATAGTTTCATTTGTTAGTTAATTTTCCTTTCTAGTTACATAATACCTGATAATTGCTCTTACTGTATATAATTTTATGATGGTAGAGTCAAGACTTTCCTTTTTATTTAGACAAAAAGGGGGAAATGTGGTATATTTATACTCTGTGTGAAAATGTAATGCTGTGATTGGTGTATTAAAAAGCTGAACAGCCAATAGCTAGGAAGAGGTTAGGTGGGACTTCTGGGAAGAAGAAAGGCAGAGTCACCAGCCAGTCACAGAGAGGAAACAGGAGCTATAAAATGGGATAGAGATAAAAGTCACATGGTAGAACATAGATTAATAAAAACACAGGTTGCCAGGCGGTGGTGGCGCATGCCTTTAATCCCAGCACTCAGGAGGCAGAGGCAGGCAGATCTCTGTGAGTTGAAGGCCAGCCTGGTCTAAAACATGGGTCCCAGGACAGCCAGGGCTGTTACACAGAGAAACCCGGTTTCAAAAAACCAAACAAACAAACATAAATAAAACATGGGTCAATTTAAGTTATAAGAGCTAGTTAAGAACAAGTCTAAGCTATAGGTTGACTTTCCTAACTAACAAGAAGATCCATGTCATTATTTGTCAGCTGGCTGACAGGACAGAGAGAGACTCACCACAGAAAAGGAGGTAGCTTATTGACTAAATACGCATGGTCCTAGATACAGAAAAAAGAAATATCAGTAACTGAAAGAATCTGAATGGATTTGTTGGCAGTAATATAGTTACCAACTTAGTTCCTGCTTTGATCATCATACTCTGGTTATAGAAAAGGCTAACACTGGGGAAAATTCTTGATATAATTTTACAATATTTTCATAAAGCTGAAATCATCTCAAAATAAAAATTTCAATTTTAATTATTACTATTGTTATTATTGTGTGAGGACATGCATGATGGGTTCACATGCTATGGCAAATGTCTGGAGGTCAGAGGTCAACTTTATGGAGTTTTCTTTCCACCTTTACATGAGTTCTGGAAACTAGACTCAGGTTGCCAGGCTTACACAGTAAGTACCTGCTTAGCCATCTAGCCCTCAAAATAAAAAAGGTTTAAAATATAATTTCTGAATGTAATATTATCTATATGGCTACTGATAGAAAACTTGATTTTCCATCTTATCTAAAATTGTATCAAAGTTATTACCTAAATAGATATACGTATTTCATGCATTCATGGTGCCTTTCTTTATAGTTATACAGACACTTTTCAGTTGAATTTAGATAGGAAAGTCAATCTGATAATCCCAGCAACTATTACAAGTATCTATATGTAATGGAAAGCACTGGACAATGTTACATAATCAACATAGTCCTACTGTCATTGTTAACTAATAGAAAACTTGATGCTTTTTCCTCTGTAAGTATCAATTAAAATCAGCAAGTACTTATTGAATGCTAGGCACTGTTAGGCACCAGAGTTGCCAAGAAGAATTATACTTTTCCAACTTGTTGTCTCAGTAGTTAACACAGAGGACTTACAAAATGTCTGACAAGTAAAGGAATGATCACACTAATTTCAAATTCAAGACTTCACAGCAGACTGACCATCACTTCTCAATCAATGGAAAAGAGCAAGTTAAACACTGCTTGCCATTTAAACTCCAGATTCCTGTTCCCATCTCTTCTTCCCCTAGTGTGCACAGGCTTCGTTCCTTACTATTTTGTATCGCCCTCATACCAACTGAATGTGTCACTTTTCTGATGATTCATTCTCTAAATAATAATGCAGACCCACTCAATGGGACTTCTGAGACAAAGGGTTTACTAATTCACAATTCCAGATTATAGCCTACCAATGTGGGAAACCAAGTCTAGAGTTCAAAGTTATTCCTTGCATAGGCAAAATAAATTTGAAGCAGTTAGTCACATTACATCAAAAGTCAAGCGCCAATAGCAATAAACACCAGGTGCTCAGCTAGTTTTCCCACTTACACAGTCTAAGATCCCCTGCCAGGGAAATGGTATTAACCATAGTAACTGTGTCTTTCCACGTCAATTTACATGATCAAGACAATATCCCCACAGACCAGTGCCCACAGGCCGACCTAATCTAAACAATCCCTCATTGAGGCTTCTTTCCCAGGCAAGACTAGACCACCACACCCAACTACTCATTCTCTCTACTATGTTACTGGGCATGGTGAAGAAAGGGAGACAGTTCATTACAAAGACATACTACTCAGTCTTTCATGGGTCTTAGCTGTCAGTTACAGTTTTTAAAAATTCATCCCTGAGTAATCCACTGCCAGGGGAATGGTGCATCTCAGTGGGCATGTCTTCCAACCTCAATTAACACAGCCAAGATAGTGTCCTTACAGGCACATCCATGGGCTTTGAGGGAAGACAATCCCTCCAAGCAAACATTATACACCTCATGTACAAAGTCACTTTTAATACATACATGATTTTACCACATTTTATTGAGGTGAAGACCCTGCCTATAAATTCATTCAAATTTTTTCCTCTTATATTTCTCTAAGTCAATAATGGGAAAAAATGGAAGGAAAAAACCCCATACTCATAATGCATCAATTTATTCAAATAATTATTGAGGACTAGTGGAAGAGACCATAGCACAGGCAGAACAACATGTAAACAACATGTAAATACCTTCTGTGTTGGACAAGGCAAACTGCTTTATAAAGCCTCTGACTCTAAGGATTTGGGAATCTGATTTTTAAAAACCTATGACAGTACAGACAGAGGTCAGTTACAATGGTGGCCACTTACAATCCCTGCACCATGTAAAAACTAGGCACATATCTGGGCCTCAATATCTAGCTGATCTGGCCTACTTGGCAAGTTCCAGGCCAGGGACCTACCCTATCTCAAAATAATCAGGCAGGCACCTGAGGAACACCTGAGGTTAAGCTCTGACCTCCATGGACGTATACATAAAGCTACGACCTAGAGGACAGAGAAGACGGAAAAAGTAAAAAGGGCTAGGAGTCTATCTCCCCACCTAGACCCTAATTACACTGACAGAGTCCTTCGGATGAAACCAGTCCCATGGCTTGCTAACTGTAGGGGAAGGTCTGGATGGAAAACTGCTTAATTTGGGTCAACATGGTTTTATTAGAGTAGCAGCTACCCACGCCCAGAGTCCCCAGGCCCCACAGCTGCAGCCATGTAATAGGAAACCTGTCTTGTGGTTATTAGAGACCTGTGCTCCAGTCCCTAGTTACTGCTTCTGCTCTGGGAGGCACAGAGGCAGTCACCACTGCAAATCCCTCTTATTCATGACAAAGAGACTTTTAGCAGATTTAAAAGGCCAGCATCTGGTTTCGGTCTCCCATTATTTCTTTTTCTTTTCTTTAAATTAGATGCCAATCATTTAAAGAGTAAACTAAAATAGTCACGAGCAACCACAAATACGGAGGAACTAATGTAGTTGAAACATGTTATGCTTGCCTAGCATAAAACCCTAGATCCAGTTCCACTAGCACAAGTATGTTTGTATGTAAATAAACTGTACGCAATGGTTTTTACCAATACTTCCTTTTAGGTTCACTTTTGTCCTTCACACTACAAACACAAGCAGGAAATTAGCACCAAATAAACATACATTTATGATCTCAATCTCAAACATGGTGTGGAGGGGGGGCGAAACCCTCTAGATTTAGCAACTACAGAAAAAAATCCAACTGTGAACTAAAAACTATTGATGAAAAGTGAACAGATCAGAAAAAGAAGCTGTCATCCACTATACACACCCACCAGTGTAGCGAGTTGCATGGAATCACACCTGATGGAGATGTATAATCAACTCCTGAGATGGCTAAGGCCTGACCTATGCTATGATCACGCAATGATTATCAGCTGCCTGCATATGCGTGAACCTATAGGCAGTGGCCACCTGGCAGTTCGGGGTTGGCAGCCCATGCCTACTTAAGGGCTGGGAGAGGTTTGCCCGGAGAGAGAGGAAGAGAGGTTTGCAGAGAGAGGAGAGAGAAAGAGAAAGAAAAGGGGGAGAGGAGAAGAGAGAGGAGAGAGGGAAAGTCGAAGAGAGAGAAAGAAAAGAGGGAGAGAGGAAAAGAGGGAGAGAAGGAGAGGAGAGAGAGAGAGAGAGAGAGAGAGAGAGAGAGAGAGAGAGAGAGAGAGAGAGAGAAGAGAGAGAAGAGAGGGGAAGAGAGAGAATTGTAAAAAGTCCTGGAATAAACTGCAGTGAGAAGAGCTCCGGTGGTCGCGTCATTCCTTGTGGGACGAGGGTGGCCGTAACACACCAGGTCTCATGTCAGAGGACTTCATAACATAAATAATACAGAGATTTATTTCATAACATCTCTGGTATAGCTGACATACTATAAAAATCACACTTTTAAGTGTTTTCATAGTGGTTTTCAGTACATTCATAAGACTGTACAATTACGACATTACCTCTAAAATATTTTTATTACTGTAAAAGAAAATTCATACTTACTCACCAGCAGTTACTACCTACCCTGCCATCCCTCCAAACACTGGTAATCACTAATCTTTTGTCACCATAGTTTGTTTCTTCTCAAGATTTTACTTAAGTGGACTGACAAATATGTGCTCTTTTTGTGCTGGATCCTTTAAGTTTTCATCCATGTCTAATCTATCAGTCTTTCATTTACGTGGCCAAATAACACTTCATTATATGGATACTTCATTGATGGACATGCATGCTGCTTCAACTTTTTTGTTATGAATACAACTACTACACACATTCAAAGTTCAGGTACAAGTTTTATATAGATGCAGATTTAGATATAAATACTTACATATACATACACACACATACACACACGGGGGTAGGGGAGGCAGCGAGTGCACACCTCTCATTATGTAGCACAGGTTGGCATCAAACTCATTCATGATCGGGAATTCCTGCCTTGACATCTAAGTGCTGGGATTAATAGCATGTGCCATCACACCTAACTCAGTATGTTTCCACTTTTCTTGGAGTTAAACGGCTATTTTATATGACAATTCTGTAATTAAATTTCTGAAAGGCTATGAAACTATTTTCCAAAGTGGCTGCATCATTTAAATGTCCATCAAGAATACATAAGGATGTTAATCTGAGCCAGGAGTAGAGGCACACATCTTTGATCCCAGCACTCAGGAGGCAGAGGCAGGCAGATCTCTGTGACTTCGAGGACAACCTGGTCTAGTCTACAGAGTGAATTCTAGGACAGCCAGAGCTATGTAGAGAGACCCTGGTGGTGATGCTAACTTGCACAGGTCCTTGGCATACTCAATATGGTGCAGCTTTCTGAATGGAGATGAAGTACATGAAATGGCATTTGAGTGCAGTTCTGATCTGCACTTCTCTAATGATAATAAATAATACTGAGCACTTTTCATGCTCTTCTGGGCCATCTGTGTGTTGCGGGAGGTCTTTCCGCCCCTCCAACCAATAGCTGCTGTGATACCAGCCCATTGGGGCGTGGTCTCACTCCCTTTAAAAAAGCGGCTATTTCCTCTGCTCGCTCTCTTCTCTTATGGCTCCGCTGGAGACGAGACTCCNAGAGAGAGAGAGAGAGAGAGAGAGAGAGAGAGAGAAGAGAGAGAAGAGAGGGGAAGAGAGAGAATTGTAAAAAGTCCTGGAATAAACTGCAGTGAGAAGAGCTCCGGTGGTCGCGTCATTCCTTGTGGGACGAGGGTGGCCGTAACACACCAGGTCTCATGTCAGAGGACTTCATAACATAAATAATACAGAGATTTATTTCATAACATCTCTGGTATAGCTGACATACTATAAAAATCACACTTTTAAGTGTTTTCATAGTGGTTTTCAGTACATTCATAAGACTGTACAATTACGACATTACCTCTAAAATATTTTTATTACTGTAAAAGAAAATTCATACTTACTCACCAGCAGTTACTACCTACCCTGCCATCCCTCCAAACACTGGTAATCACTAATCTTTTGTCACCATAGTTTGTTTCTTCTCAAGATTTTACTTAAGTGGACTGACAAATATGTGCTCTTTTTGTGCTGGATCCTTTAAGTTTTCATCCATGTCTAATCTATCAGTCTTTCATTTACGTGGCCAAATAACACTTCATTATATGGATACTTCATTGATGGACATGCATGCTGCTTCAACTTTTTTGTTATGAATACAACTACTACACACATTCAAAGTTCAGGTACAAGTTTTATATAGATGCAGATTTAGATATAAATACTTACATATACATACACACACATACACACACGGGGGTAGGGGAGGCAGCGAGTGCACACCTCTCATTATGTAGCACAGGTTGGCATCAAACTCATTCATGATCGGGAATTCCTGCCTTGACATCTAAGTGCTGGGATTAATAGCATGTGCCATCACACCTAACTCAGTATGTTTCCACTTTTCTTGGAGTTAAACGGCTATTTTATATGACAATTCTGTAATTAAATTTCTGAAAGGCTATGAAACTATTTTCCAAAGTGGCTGCATCATTTAAATGTCCATCAAGAATACATAAGGATGTTAATCTGAGCCAGGAGTAGAGGCACACATCTTTGATCCCAGCACTCAGGAGGCAGAGGCAGGCAGATCTCTGTGACTTCGAGGACAACCTGGTCTAGTCTACAGAGTGAATTCTAGGACAGCCAGAGCTATGTAGAGAGACCCTGGTGGTGATGCTAACTTGCACAGGTCCTTGGCATACTCAATATGGTGCAGCTTTCTGAATGGAGATGAAGTACATGAAATGGCATTTGAGTGCAGTTCTGATCTGCACTTCTCTAATGATAATAAATAATACTGAGCACTTTTCATGCTCTTCTGGGCCATCTGTGTGTTGCGGGAGGTCTTTCCGCCCCTCCAACCAATAGCTGCTGTGATACCAGCCCATTGGGGCGTGGTCTCACTCCCTTTAAAAAAGCGGCTATTTCCTCTGCTCGCTCTCTTCTCTTAAGGCTCCGCTGGAGACGAGACTCCCTTCCTGGTTGCGCAGATGGCTGTTGTCTGGTATTGTGATCTGTAAGTTTTTCCCCTTTAAATAAATAACACCCTATTAATCATAACTCCAAACTGGTGTTGCCTTGTTCGTGACTTACGCCTTCATCTGTGTATCTTCACTCTGAGATGTTTATTCAGAATTTTTGTTTCTTCACTGGACCACATTTTTGTTACTGAGTTAGAAATGTTCTTTTACAGACTTGACATCTTATATTATTGTGTCAACAGAAATGGGTTGGGAAATAAATGATATAAGATTCAGAGTGCTGTCCTAAAATGCACAAAGCCTGTGTTTGATTCTTAGCATCATATAAACCAGACTTAGCAGCACATGCCTGTAATAGTGGCACTCAAGTGGAGGCAAGAGGATCAGAAAGTTCTAAGTGGTAATCCACTACACAGAACATGGTTCTAGCCTGAGCTGCAGAAGACTGTCAAAAAAAAAAAAAAAAAAAAAAAAAAAAAGAGCAAAACGAAAAATAAATTGAGTTCTTTAATTTGGAATCATCCACAAGTAAAAACAACAGTGATTATCTGTCCAAATCAGAATGGCCTTGTACAGAGGGGTGAAAACAGCTGCCTTCAAGGAAAAGAAGTAAGCAATCTTGTCGTTACACTAGCAGAAAATTCTGGCGTTTTAGGGTTTTATCTGTAAAACTGTAAAGCATTTTTCAACAAAAATTAAAAGTACAACTCTGTTCTAAAAAAAATATTTACCTGCTAAGTAATTCCAGTCCGGCGGAGTACTTTGTTAAGTATGGAGCACTCCTAACAAGAGAAACACTTATTAGAATTGCTGCAGATTCAGTCAACTTAAAAAAAAACTGCTATAAGTGAAGCAGAAAAAGACAAGATCTGAGTAAATTGGGAGCATGGGGACCTTGGGGGAGGGTTGAAGGGGAGAAGAGAGGCAGAGAGGGGAGCAGAGAAAAATGTAGAGCTCAATAAAAATCAAATTTAAAAAACTGCTACAAGAATTCTGGCACTGCCAATTATTATGTAAATAATTTTAAAGCCACTAATGAGGGGCTGGAACAATGGCTCAGCAGTTCAGAGCACTGACTGTTCTTCCAGGGGATCTGGGTTCAATTCCCACACCCACATGGCAGCCGAACCATTTGTAATTCCAGTCCCAGGGGTCCCAACACCCTCTGCTTGCCTTCATGGTAAACATACACATAAATAAAATATCCTACAATCTTTTAAAAGATTAAAACTACTAATGAAGAGGATGGAGAGATGGCTCATGCAACTCCTGCAGAGGATCCCAGTTCAGTTCCCAGTTCCCACATCAGGCAGCTCACAATTGCTTGTAATGCCAATTCCAAGGGATTTGGCACCCCCTTTTGGCTTCTGTGGGCACTTGCAATGCAAGTAGTGCACATTAATTATGCAGGCAAGCGTACACACGTGCATGTGTGGGTGGGCGTGCACACAGACACAATGACAATTTATTTAAGCTTTCGAAAAAATATATTGCTTCAGAAGTAATAAACTGCAACATAACAATATTATTTTGCCAGGCAGAAACTGTCTCTAGCATATAATACAATAAACATTTTCATATAATGTCAGTTAAAGAAAATAGGCTGGATAAAAGCTCACTGTTTCCAGCTGAAATTGAATTTGATCACATACTTGAAAAAAAAATACAATTCTAGTGTCCAAATGTAAAACACGTAGCACATCTACAGGGACTCACTTATCAAGTTCTATTTCATTATTAATTTGCTTTTCAGTAACCCAGGACTTTGACACACTTCAGCTCTTGTAACACTTCATAACTTCGTAAGTTTAATACAAATTCCATGTGTCTCAATATTTAGAAAGAATTAATACTTTTGGGGGGTCAGATGCACTCACTCAACAGACCTGAAGCCTATAAAAATGATCCTATTACAAACTCAGCCAAAAGTTATATAAAATTTAAGCTATGCTAATTAAGCTGGTTTGAGCTTACCTGGGCTTGCTTTTTACTTTTGCTTCTCTTGATTTGTCACTTAAAGTCTTCAGCCTAGAAATTAACAAATAGAAAATACATTTTTAACAAGTCAAAAATTTCAACCCCATAGGGGGTTCAGCCCATACCCTATCCCCCAAATTACAAAGCTCAAAAGAATCAATAATCTGTTTAATACAAAAATAATCTGTATATCTCTCTAGCTGAGTTTAAGAAATTCCATAAAGCCTTAGCTGTCCAGGAAGCAACAAGAACCTCCACAGGTGAAAGTCAAGAAGGGAGTTTTTACAGACATGTTCTACCATTTTCAGTCCAATCTCAGAGAGGCATTAAGTTGTAACGATTTAGACAGAGTTACCCTGAGACTGCTATCCACAGCAGTGGACCCTACTCAAGCAGGATTATGTTTACAGTTGAGAATGGAAGGTACACATAATATATATCTATGCTGATATCTCAAATACAGAGTTCTAAAGTATCTTTTAATTTCATAATTCAACCTATCAACTCTTCTGCCTCCCCCATAAAAGAAAAAAAAAGAATTTGGGATAAAAAGGTAAAGAGAGATCATTATAGAGAACTGAAAATAAGATTGCTGTAAGATTTAATAAGCACTTCCCCATGTGGCTCCTTAATAACCATCTGTTTCAAAAATTGGTCTTTAATCAAATGTAATGTGTGGAACTTATTTGATCTGGATTTGGACTTATCGCTGTAAAAAGGCATTTCTAAGAAGCAAGGAAATCTGATTACAGGCTGAGTAACTGATACTATCAATGAATTAGTGCTAATTTTGCAGCAGCACATCTGTGCACTGCCTATGCTGGTGAATGAACTCCCCGGGAGAGGTGCAGGGGATCCGTGGAGGACAGAGACAGGAAAGACAGACACCAACACTTGAAGACTGTTGATGGAGACATGTGGGGCTCATATCACTGCTCTGTTTTTGTGTATGTTTAAAGTTTTCATTTTAGAAAATGATTTTAAATTAGACATGAAAGCACATGCCTGCAATCTCAGCAGGGAAGCTAAGGTAGGATGACTAAGGGTCCAAGGCCAGCCTGAGATCTTATCTTAAATAATGTTTTCTCTAACAATAAACTCACTAAATACTCATTTCTCATCATACGTTCTCCAATACACACACACATGTACATACATAAACACACGTATGTATATATGTATATCAAGGTACCAAAATTTAGAATAAAATACAAGCAGCAGCCAGGCAGTGGTGGTGCATGCCTTTAATTCCAGCATTCAGTAGACAGAGGCAAGCAGTTCTCTGTGAGTTAGAGTCCAGCTAGTTCCAGGGCAGGCACCAAAGATACAGAACCTGTCTTGAAAAAACAAAAACAAAAAAACAAAAACCAAGAGCACAAGAAAGAGGAAATTTTAAGAAAGAAAAAGATGTGGGCTTACAATCACTATTATTCTTTTTGTTTTAAGTTCTTTTTTTGTTTGTTTGTTTGTTTGTTTTGAAGACAAAGTTTAACTTTGTAGCTCTTGCTATCCTGGAACTCATTATGTAGACCAGACTGGCCTCAGAGTTAGAGATCCCTAGAATCCACTTAAAAGCTGAGGAAGCTTCTGTAATACTAGCACTGCGGAAGCAGAGACAGACACATCATTGGAGCTCACAGGTCAGACAGCCTGGAGGAACTGGCGAGACCCAGTCAGCATATTTTGGTGGTAAAACACAAGTCTTTAAATCACATTCAACCTTCTGCTAGTCCACTTTTAAATTCTGTTCACAAATCAAAATCCAATTTATTATGTCACATACATATCTCTCTTATTTTGTAGTGGCACAGACAGAAAGAGACACACAGAGACACAGGGTGGAGGGGTCTGATCTCAAAGAAAAACTATCATATTTAATAGTTTATATGACCCCTTAAGCTCCACAACCTGACAAATGCACACCAAAGTGGCACAAACTCAGAAAAGGGAAAATAATTTCAAACCACCTTTGCCCTAATGAATCTCAAACACACTGCTTCATTTCTGACCCCTCTCCTAAGGGTACCTTCAATTTCCAAGAGCTCCTCAGATCTCAAGGGCTACTTCACAAAATCACTATCAACTGCTTCTTTCCCCTCAAATCTTTTCTTGTCCTTTATGTTGGCATAATACCATCACTTATCTAAGATGCTACAAATCGCTGGGCAGTGGTGGTGCACACAATCCCAGTACTTGGGAGGCAGAGGCAGGTGGATCTCTTATGAGTTTGAGGTCAGTATGGTCTACAGAGCAAGTTGCAGGACAGGCTCCAAAGTTATACAGAGAAACCCTGTCTCAAACAAAGCAACAAACAGAGATAGTACAAATCAACATTCACAAGTTCTAGACCTTTTCATTTCACTTCTCACCGCTGACAAGCTCAACCACTGCCTGTTACACTGTTCCTCTTTTACATGTCTGCCAGCACTCATCGTCTCTGCTTGGCCCACACACACAAGCGTAACTTCTCTGCTCGCCATCCCTGATCCCAAACACAAAAATGCGTGTAAGCCCGTCTCTTAATCTGTTAGCCACAACAGCTCTGACTTTCTAAATAATCTGCCTCCTGCCATTAGTCTAGATGTTCTGTGCTATAGCCCCAGTACCTAAACAGGGTCTGACACAAAGCACAGGATAAATCTTTGATAGATTAAGCAAAGCATGAAAAATTCTCTGTTCCCAGGTCCTGAACTTCCTTCTCAGCTACATCTCCTAAAATGGCTTCCATTTCTCCAGTACCTTGACTGAAACCTATAATAATCCATCCTTATTCTTCAAGGTCCAACTTAGCCCCAGCAAGCAGTAGAATATAGCAGGTTCTAGAGTTGACAGAAGAAATGGGCTGTGGAATTTGCTTTCAAGACAAAGGAAAGATGTTGATGCCAGGCATGTGTCAGGGATGTCCTGAATGGAGGCCTAGAGAGGTCACTGTGTGAAGCTGTGACGTTGAAGACTGGATTGCCTTGGAAACCCCAGGATGCTGGAGATGCCAGAGCCACAGGATACCTGTCCATGGAGTAGAACCAGCCCAAGAAAGTATGTTGCAGTCAACAAAGCTGAGAGAAATTGCAGATCTGAAGAGCATTTTGACATCAGACATGGAGATGCAGAGTTTGTAGTCTGCCCAGCTGGTCTTGCTTTTTGGTCCAGTGTTTCTTTACTCTGCTCCCTTCCCTACGTTTTGGAATGGTAATGATATCCTGTGCCATCATATGTTGGAAGTATGTGATCTGCTTCTTTGATTTTTACAGAGGATGACAGATTGCATGAATCTCAGAAGAGACTTTGGACTTTAAAACATTGTTCAGAGTGTGATAGACTATAGGAACTTCAGAAATTGAACTAAATGCATTTTTGCATTATGATAGGGCTACAAGCTTTTGGGTCCTGGGAGTGGAATATGGTAGTTTGAAAGAAAATGCCCTTCAAAGGAGCAGTACTATTGGGAGGTGTGGTCTTGGAGGAGTGTGTCACTTTAGAGGTGGGCTTGAGAGCTTATACATGCTTAAGCTACTCCCAATGTTTCAGTTCACTTCCAGTTGCCTTTTAGATCAAGGTGTAAGGAATCTGCCTGCATGCTGCCTTGCTTCCCACCATGATGATAATGCTGTACCTCTGAGCTGTAAGCAAGCAACCTCAATTAAATGTTTTTCTTTAGGGACTGGAGAGATGATTCAGTGGTTAAGAGCACTGACTGCTCTTCCAGAGGTTCTGAGTTCAATTCCCAGCAACCATATGGTGGCTCATAACCACCGGTAATAAGATCTGGTGCCAACTTCTGTCTCCAGGGAACACATGCAGGCAGACCATTGTATACATAATAAATAAATAAATCTAAAAAAATTTCCTTTATAAGTGTTCCTATGGTCATGGTATCTTTTCACAGCCATAGAAACCCCAAGACACCCAGTACTGAAAAAAGAAAAGAGGCTAAAAGCCTAAGGACAACCCAGGTTCCTCCAGACCATCTGTAATTCCTATCTTGTCCTGTAACAATAATGACTTACATGGCATTTTCTGGTAAGTGTGAATGGAATGTAGATAATGTAGCCTTGCAACTAAAATTCCTTCTCTGGGAGAGACATAAACAATTTTACCCCCTCCCCCTAACATCCCAATGACAAGCCAAGACATGGTATCTACATAGTACACTTTGGGGAAACCAGTAAGTTTTTTGAGCTTCCTTACAGAGCACAGGTGAGGCATTACTGATAGGAGTGTGGGTGCATTTCCCCGCAACAGATTGCACCTGGAAAGCCTTTATCCTGGGATGAGGGCTTCCCCTCCTCTAGCCTTCTCCAGCTAACCAGCCCCCTCTGGATGCCATGCATAATTAAGGCAGCACTGAATATAACAGGTGGTAGCGCAGCGGGGATCCGCAGGTGAGGAGGGGTCCTAGAAATACAGAAGAGTATTCAAGTGGGTTTTACTCATGGCCACTGTCATGTTACAAAAGCAAGCTGTCAGAGCAACACACTGAAGTTTACACTCAAAAAAAGAAGTTGCTTTTCCTAAATTTATAGTTTAAAAAGATGCAAGCATGCAGTAACACTTATCACTGAATAATTCCTTAACCACTCATAATTAATACTGATAACACAAAGCTAAAATCGTCAGTAATGACACATATATAGCAATATAAATATTCTAATATATGTTGGAAACTTTCAAATATTTGCCAACAGGCTAATATTCTTAAACATTTTTTTTCTCCACGAGATAAGAGCTCAGCTAACGTTTTCCCCATGAATTATTAAAGTAGCATCGTGACTACAGTGCCCTCATATCAGGAACACTCTCCGAACACATGACAGACCATCAGGTCATGGCGGTGGATGCCTGGAATCCCAGCACTGAGGCAGAAGTATTTCCTAACAGTTCAGGGCCAATTTGGGTTCGAGCATAAGACGCTGTCTCAAAGAAACAAACAAAAAAAGAACACACCAAAGAGATGGCGGATCCTTTCTAAAGGTGACATTTTTGTAAGGCAAGAGAAGCTGCAAATGAATTAAACACTAAAGACCACACAAACAGCGCTTGCTGCACATGTAACAGTCCCATTAACTCTATGAGACGCACCATCACTATCATTTTAAAGTCGCAGAAGCAGAAGCAAACCGAGTAACTTCGTCAGGTTAAGTGGTAAACACCTGCACGAGTGCTTAGGCAGCCTGGCGTCCCGTCACGTTCCCTGACTTTGTAGTGCATCGCCTACACCTGGGGAGTCCTTAATGACGCCTTCCCCTAACATTCGGGCTTAACTGGAGCTCCGAGCGGGCAGAGCCTGGAGATTGCGAAAGGTTCCCCGGGGCGTCCAAAGTTTGGGCAACTCAGGGTGTCAACAATTTCGACCCAACTCCGTCCCTCTGGCCCAACTCCTCCATCCGGGCGTTAAACCAGGGCAAAGGCAGAGAAGAAGAGGCGGGCTAGCCTGGCTAAGGCTCGGGCTGACCGGCCGGGTGTCGGAGCCGAAACCGGAGAGGGAGGCGGGTCCCGGGTGGGTCCTGCCCTGGGAAGGGCCGCGGGCTCCCCAGTGCGGAGGACATAGCCCCTCACGTGACCGTGCTGGCCCGCTGGGCAACGCTGGCCCGCGACCGGGCAGGAGGGCATCCCGCCCGCGCCACTCAAAGACTCGGGGCCGCCGCCGGGACGCTGGGAAGTTCGTTGACGCCGAGGCGCGAGGGCGCGCCGACCCGACGGCAGGCAGCCCCACGGCCCTCTCGGTCGCCCACCGCGTACTCACCCGGAGGTGAAATCCTGCTGCACGCTCAGCAGCCGCTCGCGCAGGGTCTCCAGCATCGCGTCGCCTCCCTTCAGGCCTCGCGCCGCCGCGGCCACCCCCCGCCCCCCGACGCCGTCGTTGGGCGCCCCCGCCCTCCCGCCGGCTCGCCTCCTCACACCGCAGTCGCCGCGCCTTCCGCGTCCCCGCCCCCTTCTGCGCGCGCCCGGCCCGCGCAGCCGCAGTGCAGCGCGCAGGGCAGCCTCCCGCTGCGCCCAAGGGGCGGGCCTTCGCCGGCGCGCTCGCCTTCTCCTCGGGCCGGGCAGGAAGCCCGCCGGTTGCGCGCTTCTAGCTGGCACCCGGCCTTCTCCGGGATAACTCTGCGGGGCAAAAGCAGCGTGGAAAGATGATTTCGGTCCCTGAGCTCTTTAGGGAAGGGTTGGCTTTCGAGGGTCGGAAGAGAGCTGCGCCTCCCTGTAGCAAAAGTGTGTCAAGGATTTTGGTCCCCGGTGTTGGACTTTGGCAGTGATTGATCGTCTGTCACCATACCCTTACTTTTCACACTCTGGATCTTTAACCGCTCCCATCAAATGCCTGTGTCCTTCACACCTCCACGTTGTTAGCGTTTGTTTCCTCCCCACCCCGTCTCCGTGCGGGGGTGGAACTCAGTATCTTGGACACTAAGGCTCTACAGCTGAGCCAGCAGTTCTCAACCTTTCAGTCGTCCGCAGGGCAGTGGCTCATCCCTTTCTTCCTTTCATCCCTCCGGTTTCAGTGGCTGCTTACAAGACCACATGCACAGCCTCCTCTCTGTGCTCTCTTCTGGGTTATCCTAGCCATCATCTGTTGTACTTCCTACCGAGGCACTGACGCTACCCACTTCTCTATTTTCAGCCTTACCCCCTTTCCCTTCCATCGCTTCGGCATGTGTTCACGGGGCATCTCAGACCCAACATCCTTTGCTAGGCGAGCACTCTTACCACTGAGCCCTTATTCTTGTCTTCCGTGTGGAAAAGGTGATCATCAAAACACTCCAGGAATCAACTTTCCACCTAGGGGAGAGGACGATGCTGAAAACAGCTAGGAAGTTGGATGTTTAGTCCTGCTTTTCTTGGGTACAAACTTCCCAAAGGAGGGTTCACTTTGCTATAGGACAGGCTACAGGGTGACATTTTGTTTTTATGATGGGCAAGGAGTCATCTAAGGTTCAGCATCGGGAGCTCTGCTTCCCCAGGAATATTAGCCATATCAAAATAAAAATGAGGAGTTAGCTCCCTGCTGGGGTTTGGATATAAATTGTTCCTTACAGGGTTCATATGTCTGAGCACTTGGTTGTGTGAGAGACAGAGACCCTCATTTCATAATAAGAGCACTGCAGACTCGGAGTAGTGACAGCGTGGTCATTCACTGTACCGCTTGGCAAAGCCAGGCGTCAGTCCAGAATGGTGGGCACACTGAGCACAGAGAACAGCTTTTAGAATCCCGATACAGGCCCCTTCTTCCCTTTCGTCGTTGGCAGAATAATCAGGAGGATGCTATTTCATAGATAATCTGGGCCCTGTCTTTCTCCCTCTAAGCTTTTCATTTCCTTTGCTGCTTACATTTGTCTGTTTTCAGCAAAGACAAAGGTGGTGGTGGTGGTGGTAGTGTGTGTGTGTGTGTGTGTGTGTGTGTGTGTGTGACCTCATCAGGTCTATATGTCATTGGTGTTAAGGAGTAAAAACCCAGAGACCACCCTTATGTCCAAAATTCAAATTCAGAGTTTGTATTAAGTCTGCCAGCAACGGCCTGAAGAGAAACAGTTCCCACAGAGCAGCCCCAAATGCATTTTTCAAGGAGTTTTTAAAGACAAAGAACACAGAAAAACTACAACCTGATTGGCAGTTGCAGGAGGAAGTAAGCAATCAGTTTAACAAGAGCCAAAAATCATATTAGCTGGGGCTTTTCGACCTTGAGTTTCTAGAAAAGGGCAGGTTGCTTTCCCAAGGGACTTTTCAGGGCCCGGGTTAGAAACCAAAAAAACGGCTTCGGCTGAGAAAATTTAGAGAAACCTTTATCCCGTTACAGTTAGGCAAGCTTGGCCATTAGTAATTTCCTACTGTAAACTAATTTGAGTTGAGAGGGTAGCTGAAACAAAAGTGTGTCACCACAGTGACTTACTTCCTCCAAAGGCCACACCTACTTCAACAAGGCCACACCTCCTAATCCTGCCACACCCTATGAGTTTCTGTAGGCCAATTGCATTCAGACTACCTCAGACCCCATGACTCTTTTTCTGATTTCTGACATGTCTTTATACGTGGGCACTGTGGTGGTTTAAAAGAGAATGACCCCCAAAGGGAGTGGCACTATTAGGAGTTGGAGCCTTATTGAAGGAAATGTGCTACTGTGGGTCAGGCTTTGAGGTCTCTTTGCTCAAGCTTCCCTCAGTGTGACACTCAGACCATTTCCTGTTGCCTTCTGATCAAAATATAGCCAGCACAGTGTCTGCCTGCATGCTGCCACGCTCCCTGCCATGGTAAAGATAATGGACCGAACATTATCCTTATAAGAGTTGCCGTGGACGTAGTGCCCCTTCACAGCAAGAGAAGCCCTAAGACAGGCATGGAAGTCCACAGATGGTAATGGTTGTCTTAATAGGTTAGCTTTACATGGTAGTGAAAAGCTCTGAGGAGTATGTGGGATGGTTGATTCCTTCTCCCTGGAGTGAGTTAAATTATTGTATACTTGGGCTCCTAATGAACCACAAGGAAGAATCACAGTCTGGAAGAGCAATTAGCTCACCAGTGAAGGTCTTTCAACCCATCTCGACTTTGGAAAATAGTGGAAATGACCAAAGAGGAACAGCACCCGAGAGGAGAAACCTCACCGCCTTTACTACCCCCTTACCCCATCTGGAGGCTGCAGGAAGAAGGAAGCATTAGGCTGAATCAGATAGAAACAGAAGCATGGTCCATCTACTGACTGACTGCCCACTGCCCACTGAACAAGGTGTGGCTCATCATAGCTTTCTGTAGTGCCTTCTATTATATATCATGTTCAGGCCCTACCTATGGCTAGCAACTAAATGCTATAGGTGTAGTAACGACATTCATAATATCATAAATTATTCATGTTTTGTCGTGAGAGCCTTCATTAACTAAGAGTTCACTTGTTCCAGGCAAAAGTGCACCTCGTATGAGTAGGTATGTGTTCCCTGTTTTACAGTTGGGAGCATGAATCTCAGTCTGTGTGAGCCTCTACTCTTGAGGTGAGGAGATGCCCACAGGGGAATTCCTGTTTGCATAATAGTGATTCCCAAGCCTAGGAGTCAACCCACCTTGCCTTGGCTACAGAAGAATCATCAGAGGGGGTCACCCAAGCCCGCAGGACAATGAATATTAGGAAAGAGCCGCTTGGAATGCAATCAAGAAAGATCCTAGGAATGAGGATGAGAAGTTTGTGTGTACATGAAGAAAGATCCAGCTCACCAAAGATGACCTCATTGGGAGCACAAGGCAGTTTTAGCATGAGTCAACCAATTTTAGCACAAAACAGCCAATAACTATGACAGGTCAAACTTGCCACAGGTAGGTGAGCAGTTTTGACTGCAGCCAAGAAAACAAGACAATCTTGTATTTATTTTTAATGTACTGGGGAAGAAGAAGCCCTAAGGAAAGAGGAAAGTCACTGGTGATAGGTGACCTGGAGGATAACAATTCTGTACCACATCCCCAAGCTGGTGAAGCAGAATTTACTGCCACCTTGTGGTTTTGCCATGAGGGATGGGTAAGTCAGAACGAGATTACTGTCTCCATTTCTCTCTGCCTAGACCACTGTGGAAGATCACCTGGGAAATAGGTTACAGTGGACTCTTTCCTCTTTTAAAAATGCCTTGTCACAAGCTGTGGAAGCATACCTTTAATCCAGTACTAAGGGGGCTGGAGAGATGGCTCAGAGGTTAAGAGCATTGCCTGCTCTACCAAAGGTCCTGAGTTCAATTCCCAGCAACCACATGGTGGCTTACAACCATCTATAATGGGGTCTAGTGCCCTCTTCTGGCCAGCAGAATATTGTATACATAATAAATAAAAAAAAATCCAGTACTAAGAAGGCAAAGGCAATCAAGCCTTTGTTCAAGGTCAGCATGGTCTACATGGAAAGTTGTAGGACAGTGAGAGCTACACAGTGCCTATGTTCAAAATAAATAAATGAATTAACAAATGAACGAATAAATAAAAAATTAATAAGCTTTGTATTCTTGAAGAGAAAATATCTTGTCCTTATCTTTTTATTTTTTGTTTTGTTTTGAAACAGGGTTTCACTGTGTAGCCCTAGCTGTCCTAGAACTCACTCTGTAGAACAGGCTGGCCTTGAACTCACAGAGATCTACATACCTCTGCCTCCTGATTGGTGGGACTAAAGGCATATACCCCTACCATCCACACAACTTTCGTCTTTATCTTTTAGTGTAGAATATCCACACAAATTTTTTATGGCCCCTTGTGAGGTTGCGCTATTGTAGCTATAAATCAGACCTAAAAGCTTTATCTATGGACCAGATGCCCTGCTGTTCCCTCTCTCTTCCCTGTTATTTTTTTTTTAATTCTGTTTTGCTGGGGGTGAGTTTGATTTTGTTTTTCTTTTTTTCTTTCTTTTTTTTTGTTTTTGCTTTTTTTTTTTTTTTGACATTGCAGATTGCAGGCAGGTACATCTTGCCTAAATATGAATGCTGTGTTTTGAGTTGGAAGAGAATTTATACTACTTCACACCTGTCATTAAATGTAACCTCTGATGTGAAGGCTCCAATAATTTGCCATAAAAATAGCTAAGGGCTGAATGGGCATGGAGACCAGGATTAGTGCTGGCTGTGGTTTCACGCATCAGGAATCCAAAGGCCAGAGAACTCCCCTGGCTTGACCTAGGTTTGCTTTCACTTCCACCCTGCAGGGCCTGCATCAGGCGCTTTGCTGCTGCTCCTCACCAGCACAAACCCATATTAATTAATATACATGAGAGAGGAAAGCCTCAGTGGAGAATTAATTACCCTTAACGATGTTTTTCTTTCAAAATTGGCTGCTTTTTCCTTGGGAAATAGGACATGATATGATTTTGTGGGGGAGTTATTATTTTTGGAAACAAAACCAAATACTAATTATAGGTTCACTGCCAACAAACCCAATTCAACCTGCCGCATCTACTTCTAGTGGAG